GGTGGGGTGCCCCGCCGGGGCTGGCCGCGCTCGTAAAGCCCGACCCACCCGGAAGAGGCGCCCGGCCGCGGGACCGAGCTGCTACCGGCCTCGGTCATTTCTCTTCTCTCCGCAGCAACCGGAGCCCCGAGGGAGACCGGGAAGAGGCCAGAGGCAGCCCGGCACAGCCCTAACTACACACAGAAGGAGCATAACCCCTCTGCAGAGAGGGAAAACTCTGCGTGTGGTGAGGAAAGACATGCATCCTCTTCCTAGAATATTGTAAAAATCTGCAAAATAATAGAAGAATATTTTGAGAAGCGCATGAAGTTACTTGACAGTATTTGAGAGTCCTCTCTCGAAAGGGGCAGCTTGCTAAGCCGTTCAGTACCTGGTGTTGGCTCAGACAATTCAGCGCATTTTAAAGGACAAACCACAGAACAAGAAAGAAATGCAGACCGAGGGTGCCCCGGCCTCTGGGATGTGTCTGGGTGAGAAAACAGCGTTTATTCCCAGCAGGCAGGGAAAAGCGTTTGTCAGATAATGGGTTTGCACAGCTGCTCCAGCAGAGAGCTGGGAGCCCTTTCCCCCCCACGTCTGTGCTGGGGTCTTCTTACTGCCGGTGGCTGCCAGGGCTGACCTAGGCAAAAGGCACATTAGCCAATGCCAACTACTAGTGAAAACAACTGGAGGTGGAAGCGTTTGAAACATCTTTTTTATGGGATGAGGAGTGAGTAATTTTTTTTTCTTAAAAGGTTAGAGCCAATGGCTGTAACATGCTCTTGTCTACATGACAGCAAGAGCCATCCTTCAATCCTGTATCGTTAAGAATAGTTTCCAACGAATTAGTCTGTATGTAGCATCGATGGGCTCTTAGGCACTTTCTTAGTCATATTATCAAAGCATTATCCAGATCCCATGACAAATTAAAGTCCCAGGTATAGACACACCAGATTTACAATTATACTAGCACAAGGCAGAAACTGTTCCCCTTATGAAGTTAGTCTTTCACCTCCCAGAACAATTAGCATTTGCAACTTAGACAAGTTTAATAGATTTAGCAAGTGTCAATATTGAAAGTCCTGAGGAAAGGTGAGGTAAAGACTGTTAAAGAAACCTATGCCTGTGCCTCCATGGCTATTTGCGTGTGCTAATAGTTAACTGTCCAGCTCCTATCACACAGCTATCTACTGATCATCATAACTGTTTCCTCTTAGTAGGCTGCTCAGCAGAGAGGCTTAAGAACAGTTGCCATAAATTAATGCACCCTTTGCCCTAGCTGCAATAAGAGGATGTTTATATTTGAACTGCCAAGGTCCTCCTCTTTCTTGAGGGAGTAAAAAAATTCCATTAAAGCTGTTGTTCTAGCCCTATGGGTAGGATTTTCCTTAAAAAGGCAGCAAACTGATAAAGCATGCACCAACAGTACATGATTATTCCACAGCTGGTGAAGGTCTTCCACATTCACAGAACAACCATCTTCCAAAAAAGTAAACATGCAACAGATACCTATTTCTATATTAGTGTGCCAGATGCAAAACTTACTAACATCCTGTAACCAAAGAAAAGGGTGACTGCAGGATGTCACTGATTTTGAAATGAGGGTGCACTTCTAAAACAGAAAGAGTTGAGCGTATTTTATACGCTCTTTTGTCCACTGGCTCCTTCTAGTGGCCTCCCCCGGGCGCTACAATTACCTAATTACCTAAACCCTTCCTTACCTACTTCATGCTCTCAACGAACTTCACTTAGCCATGTGTCCAGACACCAAAACAGCAGACAAACTTGTCTGAGCAGCAGCAAAAGCTTTCTGTAAGATACATACAGAAAGACAGACCTCAGCCTTTTAGATATTTCCAGTGAAGTTTCTTTGTCTCTAACTTTTCAGGCTTCTTGTATGACAGAGAAAACTTTTCTGCAGAACATGGTGAGATTCTATGGAGGACAAGTACAAGATGCCTAATGCAAGAAAATGGTGCTGGGAGAGTTGTTACTCATGGCGCTTGCTGGCAGTGTTTTACATGGCCTCTCCTAGTGTGATGCAATTAAGTCTCCGATTCAGAATGCCAAATTGAGATAACATACAGAACATGATAGCTTCTGTTCTCCTGCAACAACTTTAGGATTTTCTTCTACACATTGTGCTCTGCAGGATACACAAACATAAAAAAAATGATTGCTCACACTCCCTGAAATTGTTGTTCTCCTACAAAGCTATGAGAGAATTTTACAGGTGCTCCTATACAGCTGAACTCTCCTTCTAAGTGCCTCCAACATGAATCATTTTTGTTTGTTTGTTTTTTTAAAACTTGAGATCTTTAGGCAATTATTCCAAGCAGGTTCCAAAGTCTTTTCTACCTGGCATGTTAAGGTAAGAGCAATATACCTTAGAAATAACAATTGACACATCTTATACTTTAAAGGAAATGCTTTCTGAACTTGCCCTTTCCTCTGCCAACACGCAGCTCTCTCCCTGTCTGGTAGCAGCGGTAGTAGTTTGGAATGGTGAACTAAAGACTACAACTAAATGTATGCAATGAATTGAAAATAGAAGGAGTTAATTGTTGGTAGCTTGACAGTCTGACTAAGCCTGTGCAGAACCACAGTGCTTCACTGTTCATCCTCAATATGCCTATTCATGTTTGATTTCCATCAAAAGCATTCATCTTAACTATCCACTCTCCCCTACTGATTGCATTCCAAACCAAGACTTATTTGCTACTCTTTGCTGCATGGTTTTGTATATTGCATTGGTTTGTACTGCTCAAGAACTGAAAATACTATAAAAAAAGATAAACAGTTTTAGTAAACACACACCACTTAAGTAGCTGAGGACAGCTCACCCACAAGCTGGTGATATGCAAGGACTCATTTTTTTTGTCGCATTTAAAATACTAAGATCCAACTGAACTGATCCTTTTACAGACTAACGCCATGCATAAAATGCAGTGCTGTAGGTAAATGGCATACCTGAAGATTTCTCAGCATCCTCCGTACATTGAATACACGTACCACTAATGGCGCAGAAAATATTTCCGCATTATAAAATAAGTTACAGCATACCTTACGTTTTATTAGCACAAGAGCGTAATTATCTACATAAGCTATTCACTGTCAGCTGTGTTAGCTGCCACCTTCTCAAAAGAAGTGGCTGACAGAGGGACACACTTGTTTTAATTACTGCATTTAATTTTTATCTTACCTAAGCAACAGAGATGGGTGTCCATTTACAACCCAAGCACTCTGCAGTATATTAAAATAAATTCATAATATACCCTCTTGCCTTAAGATAAGGGTGAAAGATCTTACCATATTTGTCAAGATGTATGTTGGATTTCAAGGTTCATCTGGTCTATCTAGTTTCTGAAGTGTGCCTGTAGACTCCACCCTTTTGAGATCAACACAGGTAAACTGAAATATTAAAAGCAGAAATGCTATAGGAAATTAAGATCAGATTGTAGCTGAGTTGGAGCAATACATTCTGTCAGATACAGCTATCTGTGTCTGTTTTATTTTAAATTCAGTACCAGCACAGAATTCTATCTAGTATGTATTAGAAACTACCTCCATATCAAAAGAACTGCTTCATTGGCAGCCTGATATGAAGATTATCTTCAGTATATGAGACAGCTTGGTATCTGCATACCTGTATGTTTTCAGTCACTTCATTCTTT